TTCAGACAGCCATATATACATATATGGAGGGGTGGGGACATAGCTCAGTTGATAGAGTGCTTGCCTTGAATGCACAAGGCCCTGGGTTCAATCCCCAGTACCAAGGGGAAACAAAACAAAACAAAAAGAATATATACATATATGAGTTACAGAAGAGAGAAAGGAGTCTAGGGAAGAGACAGGAAAAATATTTTACCAAAAATTTTTCTTGTTTGATAAAAATTTAAAAGCTACACATCCAAGAAGCTCAACAAATCCTAAGCATTATAAACATGAAGAAATCTATACAAAGAATTCTCTAATTACAATGTGCAGAAGAGAAAAATTTACAGTCAAACAATTTGATAAAGGGAAAGAAAAACCTTATAAAGCAGCTGGGGAAAAAAAGACACACTAAGACAAAGAATAATAGCAAATGTCTCCTTGGAAACAAAGTAAAGAAGATGACAGTAGAGAAACATTTTTAAAGTATGAAAAGAAAAAAATTAGGAGCTGGGGTTGTGGCTCAGTAGTAGAGCGCTCCCCTAGCACATGCAAAGCCCTGGGTTCAATCCTCAACACCACATAAAAATAAACAAACAAACAAATAAGTGAAATAAAGGTATTATGAAAAAAAAAAAAGAAAAAGAAAAAAATCTGTCAACCTAGGATTCTATACCCATAGTTGATATCTTTCAAAAATGAAGATAAAAAAATATTTTTTTAACTGTACAAAAGCTGCAAGAATTTATCACCAGATGATGTCTATTTCATGAAATGGTAAAGGAGTTCTTCAGGCAAAATAAAATGATACCAGGTACATATGTATGTACACATGGGAATGAAGAGTACAAGAAACAGGAACTATGTAGGTTAAGATGTAGGTATAACATTTTTTTTCTTTATTCTTTAAATAACTTTAAAGGATGATTTTAAAAAAATAAATCCCATATAGTGTAGGGTTTATAATATTTGTATAAGTAAAATTTGTAACACTAACATGAAGGTTGAGAAAAAAAAAGAAATAAAAGTAAGCCATGCTAAGGCTCTTATACCATTATACATAAAGTGGTTTATTTTCACTTGAAATGACTACATGGACAAACACTGAAAACATTATGCTAAATGAAAGAAAACAAAATGCTAGTCATAAAATACCACTTACTATATAATTCCTTTTTTCTTAAAGGTACAGAATAAGCAAATTCAAAGAGAAAGAAAGCAAACTAGCTATTGCCTGAGGTTGAGTATTTAGGAAGAAATGAGTGACTATTAATGAGTATAGTTTCTTTCTTAGGTGGTGAAATGTCTAAACTGAAAATAGTGGTGATGGCTGTAGAACTTTGTGGATATACTATAAAACACTGAATAACACTTGGGGCCGGGGGTAGTATGAATTGAACTCAGGGCACTTGACCACTGAGCCACATCCCCAGCCCTATTTTGTATTTTATATAGAGACAGGGTCTCACTGAGTTGCTTAGTGCCTCTCTGTTGCTGAGGTTGGTTTTGAACTCGAGACCCTCCTGGCCTCAATCTCTGGGGCCGCTGGGATTACAGACATACACCACACGCCTGGCAATAGTACACTTTAAAATGGTGAATTGTATGTTATGTGAATATATTTAAATAAAGCTTATTCTTTAAAAAAAGGAAAAAAATCAAAATAAGAAAAAGAGAACAATCAGATGTGACATATAGGGGAAAAAATAATAAAGATGATACACCTAGCCATACCAATAATGTTAAATAAATTCATCAGGAAAACTAAAACTTCTAAAGATTTATGTGCCTTAAAAATGTAGAGCCAAGGACTGGGGATGTGGCTAACGCGGTAACACACTTGCCTGGCATGCGTGAGACGCTGGATTCGATCCTCACCACCACATGAAATAAAATAAAAATGTTGTGTCCACCGAAAACTTAAAAATAAATATTAAAAAAAAATTCTCTCTCTCTAAAATAAAATAAATAAATAAATAAAATAAAGACATTGTGTCCACCTAAAAACTGAAAAATAAATATTAAAAAATTTTCTCTCTTTAAAAAAAAATGTAGAGACCAAATACATGAAGCAAAACTGGACAACGCTAAAGGAGAAATAGAAAAATGTATTGCTATAGACAATATTTAATATTCCTTTCTCAATGTGTAAAAAAAAATCAGCTAATACCTAGACTTACTACAGACAGGTGTTGTGGTGCATGCCTCCAATCCCAGGTATAGGACAATGAAACAAGAAGATCACAAATTTGAGCCCACTGTGGGCAATCTAGGTAGACCCTGTCTCAAAAAAAAAAAAAAAAAAAGAAAAGAAAAGAAAAAAAGTGAGGGTAAGGACTGGGGATGCTGCTCAGTTGATACAGTGTCCCTGGGTTTAATCCCCAGTAACGAAACAATATTATCAACCAACCTGATCTAATAGACATTTATAGAATACCCTCACAGACCACATTCTGGGCCATAAAATAGATCCAAATAAACAAAAAATAATTCAAGCCACAGCAACTATGTTCTATTATAATTACAAAATTAAATTAGAAATCAATAACTTAAAAAAATCTGGAAAATCTCTAAATATTTAAAAATTAAGTCATAAACTTCTAAATAACTCGGGTCAAAAAAGAAATCAAAAGTAAATCAGAATGTAGTTCAAACTTACTGAAAATGAGAACAGATCACATAAAAACTGTGTAATGCAGCTTCAGAGCACTTATATGGAATCAAACACTTAGATTAGAAAGGTCCTAAATCAATGAAGCTGCAGCTCCCTTCTTAAGAAAGTAGAAAAATAAAAGCAAATGAAACTTTAGTAAGCAGAAGTAATAATAAAGATCTGGTAGAAAGAAACAGAAAACAGAAGAGTAAATGGGCAAAATAAAATAAACCAACAGCTAATTCAAAAATCAATGAAGTAGATAAAAACCAGCCAGATAAACAAGGTAAAAAAAGACAGATAAAAATTACCAGTATCAGAAATGAGAGATGTACTATCACTATAGATTCTAGAGCTAGTAAGAGGATTAATAAAGGGACTGGGGTTGTGGTTCAGTGGTAGAACACACGCCTAATGCGTGAAGCACTGGGTTCGATCCTCAGCACCACATATAAATAAATAAATAATAAAGGTATTGTGTCCACCTACAACTAAAAAAAATCTTTAAAAAAGGATTAATAAAGAAATTATTCAACAGCACATATAAATGAACAAATTTCTAGAAAAAAAGTTCCCCAAGGAAAAATAGAAAACCTAAACACTCCTATAATTAATAAAGAAATTAAATTTGTAATTTAAAACTTAAACAAAGAATCTCCAAGCCCAAGTCACCGGCAAATTGTACCAAGTATTTTAAAAAGAATATTATCAATTTTCTGCTAATTCTGCAAGAAAAATGTAGAAGGAGAATTCTTTCCAAATCACTCTATTATAGACTAATACTTGATCTTGATAACAAAACCAAAGACATTATAAGGAAAGAAAACTTGAATACAATATTCCTCATGAAAATAGGTGGAAAAATTTTAAATAAAATTTTAGCTAATCAAATCCAATATGTGAAAGGATAACACCAAATAAGGACAATGACCAAATAAGAGTATATTTCAAATAAGAAAGCTGACTTAAAATTTGAATATAAAACAATGTTATTCAATATATTAACAAACTAAAAAAAGAAAATCACAATCCCCCAAAATTCTCAGCAAACTAGGAATACCACACCTGATAAAAGATATCTACCAAAAAAAAAAAAAAGCCTTACATAAGAATGAAGAACTGATCACCTCCCATCTGAGATCAGAAACAAGACAAAAAATGTCCACTCTAAATATTTTTACTTAAAACTGTAGTTGAGGCAGGGAAGATAGGAGGGGGCAACATTCTGTTTGGAAAAAAAGAAGTAAGACAATATTTCTGTATAGAAAATGTGATGTAATCTACAAAAAAACTACTAGATATAACAAATGATACTAATAAGGTTACAGTTCTGATAAAATATCAATATACAAAAATAAATTATGTTTATATATACTAGCAACCAACTGGAAATTGAAATTTTTAAAAAATTTACAACAGCAGAATTATGGGATAATTCTGCCAAATGCTATGTTAAGATCTATACACTGAAAACAGTAGTTCTGTTGAAAAGATTTTTTTTTAAGGAACATGTCGTATTCGTATGTTGAAACACTCACTGATATCATCACAATCTTCCCCAAATTATCTACAAACTCAAGAACATTCCAATCAAAATGCAAGTAGGCTTTGTGTAGAAATTAACAAATTAATTATAAAATTTATATGGAAATACAAAGAATCTACAATGATGAAACAATTTTGAAAAAAGAATGAAGTTGGAAAACTAGCACTATCTGATTTCAAGACTATTATAAAACTGTAACAATAAAGACAGTATGGTACTGAAATGAAAATAGATCAATAAAACAGAAATAGACATGTTTATGGATAACTGATTTTCAGTAAAAGTAGAAAGATAACTCAGTAGAGAAAAGAGTCCTCAACAGCTGAGAACATTAGCTATGTAGAAAAGAAAACACACCAACCTTCAATTCATATTCTGTAACATATCAATAAATTAACTCAAAATTGGATCATAGACTTAAAGGTAAAATCTAAAACCATACAACTTCTAGAAGCACGAGAAATAAGCGGGGAGCTAATAAAAGCAACAACACAGATGGATTTCAAATCTCACCAAGTCAAGGCAAAGTTTTCACCAATAAACATGAGGAAGAAATACCTATATTAAGTGTGCCTAAGGATAAAATAAAGAGAGAGAGAGAATGAGAACATACCATTGCCATATTTCAAGATGTGTTTTACATGTCAGAGTGACTATGATCAACTATACTAGCTTCCCATGAAAGAAACTTAAAAGTAACATTTTTTACTTACAAATGTCCCAGAAACAAAAGAAGAAAGTATGAACTTTCAAGTGAAAAATACTCAATCAACAATGAACAAACAAGGTGACAGTTCCACAGCTGACCCAATAACTTACCTGGTCATATCCATAAGGCCTCTGCTGGGGTGGCTGGGGTGGTCCAGGTTGTGTTGGTCTATAACCCCCATACTGCTGACCTTGTCCTTGTGGATAGTTAGGATACTGAGGACCTGGACCACCCTGTGAAGGACCTATAAAATAATTCACAAAGACAAGTCTAGGCAAAAATATAGTACGTTTCTAGAATTTGAGAAGGGTTTTAAATTAGATGTTACTATATTTTCATATCTAAACTACAAAGGAAAGTTTGGTACCAAGATTTTCCAAAATGCTTTGTGAAATAAATTTCAATGGTTGTAAGAGTGGAAATACTCTAATGCTGCTTCAATAAAAACTATTTTGTGTTATGTCCTAGATATTAGTAAATGTATAAAATAAAATGGGGAAGAAATACTCAAGGAATTATGAAGTATAATAACAATTAATTTACACACTGAAAATTCATAATTTGTAACTGGAAAGTTAACTGCAAGCAAGCAAGAAACAAAAGAAAAAGATGTAGATTCAAAGAAAAATTATGAAATAATTTCAAAATATAGACCAAGCATTGATTAACATATGCCATCATCAAAGGAATCCTATGGCTATACTCTATATCAGTAAACTTATTAGACAGTATTTTAAAACAGAAACTAAAAATCTGAAAAGTCACAGGTTGAATATGAAAAAACTTGATTCAAAAGTTACTCTGAAAAATGGAGTTCTACTCAGCCATAAAGAAGAATGAAATAATGCCATTTGCTGGTAAATGAATGGAAATGGAGTGAAATAAGTTGAGATTCAGAAAATTAAGAGAAGAACATTTCCTCATGTGTTAAAGCTAAAGCAAAATAAGGGAAGGAAAGTGGCAGAGAACAAGATTGGACATCAGAAAGATATATGGTAATCAGTAGAATAGAAGGAGAACAGGAGGAAGGGAGGAAAGAAGGAAACTACCCGTTTAACAATAGCTTGTTATATACATATATAAATGTACCAAAAAGAATTTTACCTGTGTATATATGTAGAAAATGCCAATCAAAAATAAATAAATAAAGTAGTGAAAGGAAGTTCAACAGAGGAGAGAGAAAATAGGAGAATGGAAAAGAAAAGGGGAAGGGAGAAGAATGGAGAATAAAATAAAAATCCTTGCATGTCTTATCTTGTCAAAATGAACCCAAATACTATGCATAATTTTAATGCTATAATTTTTTTAAAAAAAGGTTAATCTGAGAATCAATCACCTTTAATACTTAACCCACAAAAATGATTTCAAGTTCCAGAGATAGCAAGGAATTAATTTGGTGTGCTAAACAAATGTGTGTATTTTAGAAATTCTACTCTTATCTACTGTAAAGAATGCTTTATAAAGCATAAGCTAAAAGCTTTGACACTTCAATGTTTTCTGCCAGTCATTCAAAACCAGGCATAAAAACAATGACTACAGAAGAAAGTGTCAACAGAAAACAATAAATTTCCAATTTTAAATAAATCCAATCATCTATCATTTACTATATCGTCATTTATTAAAACTTTAAATTTTCTATTAAATCAATTAACTTTTCTTTAACCCTCTCTTCTGAATGAGGATTATGTTTCTCCTAAGTCAATGAATTTGCCTGATTAAGTCACATCACATTTGTTCTTATGCAAATGCAATAAAATCAGAATATTCTATTTATTCCAAATACAAACACTAAATAGTCATGAAGGGGAGAGGTAAACAAGTTCCTTTGTTTATTTGTTGTCATTTTGTTTGTTTTGTACTGGAGATTGAACCCAGGTCCTCTTTACTACTGAGCTACATTCCCAGCCCTTTTTATTTTTTATTTTGAGACAGGGTCTCACTAAGTTGCTAAGGCTGGTATTGAATTTGTAATCCTCCTGCTTCAGCCTCCTGAGTCACTGAAATTACAGGTTCGAGGCATCATGCCAAACTTCTTTGTTAAATAAAAATAATAAATGCATGGAATAGTTCTAAAGACAGATCTAGAATCAAGGAACCACAGCTTCTCTTCTTTAGGAATATACCTGATTCCCAATATCAGTTCTAATGTTTATGTTGAAAGGGCAAGAGAATTTCATCCTGATCTTGGATTTTTAGATTTTCTATCATATGTAGACGAAGGTGCCAGTAGGAATAGCAGGGCTTAAATCAATTACTATAAACAGTAAGTTATGACTGATGTGAAAAAGAGACCAAGTTAGCAAGAGGTGGTATTAGTATTAAAAAGCAGCTACTTCTATGTTATTAAACCTTATTTTCTAAAATGACTATAGTAGCCTAAAATTTAAGACTGAGATAGCAGGTCCCCATCATTCAGTGTTATTTATTTTTGGAACCAGAAATTTAATCTAGAGGAATTTAACCACTGAAGAAACATTCCCAGCCCCACTTTTTTCTATTCTATTTTGATACAGCGCCTCACTAAGTTATTGATGCTGATGATGAATTCACGATCCTCCTGCCTCAGCTCACTGAGCTGCTTGGCTTACAGGCATGCACCACCATACCCAGCTCAATGTTATTTTTTGTAGTTAACAGTTATTCTTTTTTAAAAACAAATTTGCTAAGCAAGTTATGTACATATAGTTAATTCTAATCCCAATCATTAGTTTTCCAAACACATATAAAGTTATTGGCTGGTCATGAATACCAACTAGGTCTGAGAATTCCTTTTTCTTGTCTTTTAAATGACTACACATCTTAACTTTGGTCAATTAACTACCTTTAGTTTGTGATCTTTGGATGATTATTATTATCTAAGAGGAATATTTTAAACAAATGCTCTAATAGGAGACTAGGCTAAACCTATGACTTTTAAAAACTAATTCTTATAAAACTAAATGCTAAATATCTCCACTTTCATATTTCAAAAAAGAAATCATCACATTGGGATGGGGGGAATAAAAATTGCTAAAAGTTATTACCATAGCCCTGCTGCTGTCCTGGGTAGCCCTGCTGCCCTGGGTACTGCTGCTGCTGGGGTGGATATCCTTGTTGTGGAGGGGGTCCCTGGTAAGCATCCTGTTGTTGGCCATATTGTGAATTTCCTAAAGGATAATTGGAGAAGAGGAAAAACAAAAACACTGAGAAGTTTGCTGAATTAACTTTTTCCCTCTAAGATGCATAGCCAACAACACAAGAACAAAATAAAATGCCATATTGATTTTTAAAAGTTAACAAAACAAAGAAAAACTCAAACCAAACAGAAGGATTTCGGCCAAACAAACTGCAGTTAAAGCCAATTTTGCAAGGTTGAACTGCAGCATTTTCAGCGTCTCTGCCATACGAGCATTACATTTACTGGAACATCACAGTCATAAGATCATGACTATGCTAAATAAAATAAAAAAGACAAAATTAAAGACAGCTACAAGAGCACACACTAGCTACACAAGATCAGCAAGCTGTTTCCTAAAGGCACTATACTTATATGTAAAATTATACATATGTAAACACACACGAGGGGAAAAAAAATTGGATTGATGGGTTTATGTTCAAATAGAAAATTTCCACTGAGGAAAAAATTATTTTTAAATGTTTTAGTCTTTTTATTGTTGTTAGAAATGGCAAGTCATGGTTATACATTTTAAATATTTGTAAGGAAATTATTTTGATTGTTTTGGGCTCCCTATAACTTTTAAGACAGCCAGCAACTAGTATTCTACAAGAGCTTTGCATGGGTAGAAGTTGTCTTATGCAAGAATTTTCATTCCTGTAGAAGGGGATATATATGTATGTGTGTGAAGGTATATAGATACCTCCTTCGTAGTAATGTTGTGAGGAATCCTCATAAGGCCTATCGTAGCCTTGTTCAGGATACGACGGTTGCTGATAACCGTAATCATTATGACCTACATCAATTCGACAAGAGACAGGAAGAAACGTTAATGGCCACTGAGTGAAAACCCTAAAAATATTTAAACTTTCAGATAAAATTGAAAAAAAGAAAAAGAAATGGAAATACATAAAAAATAATTTCAATTGCATTAGCCAAATATTTACAAATGTGACTGTTTTCATATTGAGATAACGTGCAATTTTTTTAAAGCAAAAAGCAGTAGTTTTAGAAACATTACACTTATAGACTTGACTCTGATATTCCTCATTGAGGAGGGAAAAACTTTATCTTCTTTTTTTTTTAAGAGAATGAAAGCATTTAGACCTTTCACATGTAAATAACTTGAATTAAATTAGAATGAACAAAAGAAGCAATTATCATATTTTGTCAAACACCTGTTCTGCTGGTCTCCAATTCCACAGCATATGCTAAAAACAATGCAAAATATAAAAGAGCTCCATAACTTTTTTCCCCTGAAAGAAACTGAAACAATTTTTTCACACTCTTAACATTTTCTCACATAATCTCAAAGTGTTTTCAGGTGCAAAATATATTTATTAATGCTGCCACTTTAGAAGTCTTTAGAAAATATTTCTGGAGTACCATAAACATATACCTTCTTAAAATTAACAGTGTTAAATTCTAGGGTACACCTTCAATTTTAAGAAATAATAAATTTCACCTGTAAGATAACTAGATTCTATTTTCATCCTTTAAATAAATTTCACTAAATGTAGAAAATGACTTTTCAAGTTGCTAAAATCTGAACTGAATTTTACAAGAATGTCTAATTATAGAAGAAAGAATATGGTTAATGAATAAATATTATACTCAGTGCTCTAACATTTGAATATTCCCAAACCACTACGTAATTATCTATATCAAAGGTAGGCAAACTGTGTCCTGTAGGCTTTATATAACCAGTGGCCTATTTTTGTAAATAAAGTTTTATTGTAATATAGTCATGGCCATTCATTTAAGTACTATGTCAAACTGCTTTCATAAAAAAAGTAAGGATTCAGTGGTTGAGACCAAGACAATATGTCCTACCAAGACTAAAAAATTTATTATCTGGCCCTTTGCAGAAAAAGTTTGCCAACTCCTCATCTACGTTACTATCTGGACATGGGGAAAAAAATATCCAATGCTGTTTAAGAAAATAATTGTTGCTATAAGTGGAATATTTAATGCATATATCAAGACATACTTATACACATTAATGCAAAAATGGTACTGTACAAATAAAAAATCCACTACTGTAATAAAAAAGTACAATAACCTTAAGGTTTTGATATTTACAAAAATAACATACCTATCTATTTTGAATAGAAAGGTCATATTTATAATAAGGCAAATTTCACATTTCAGGAAATACTTAGGACCCAAAAAAATAAGTTCAACTAAATCATTTAAAAATTAAACAAGTAAAATAATCATTAACTTCAACAATATAACTTAACAAAGTTGATTTCAACTCTTTAAAAATCTATAGTCCATACTAAAATTACTAAGTTTTTTTTAAGAAAAAGCTAAATACGATGTGTACATATGAAATAAAAAATAAAAAAGCCAACTTTCTAAATAATTCATGGCAAGAAAAATCTGAGATCAAAAAATACATCATTCTCTAAACAAGAATAATCTACATATGTCATTATCACTAATAAACATTTAATGATGTAAATATTATAGATGATTGCCCTTCCTGTAATATTTAGAGCCTCTGTGGTAAAAATCAGTGTCTTTAGAGTACCAATGTACATTTCTTTATATTAATACACTTTAAGTTTCCCTAATTGTATTTCAAATTGTTAAAATCTGAACTAAATTTTACAAGAATATCTAATTACAGAAAGAAGAATATAGTTACATATACTCCATGCTCTAACATTTGAATATTCCCAAACCAGTTTTTGTGAAACAATTTTTCAAATACACCAAATTATATCTTCTTGCTAGCTTACATTAGTATCTAGTCAACAGCTCCTGATGCTTTAGCTTTAAAATTCTCAGTTTCTCTACTAAGTAACTTAAATATGCCAAAGGAGTTTACTATGAATGAATTTTCTGGGAAATCATTTCATAATAAGACAAATTATTTTATAATATGACTACATCTTGACTTATCATATCTACAGATTTGGATTATTTTTTCTTCAAAATTACATTGTAAGAATTTTCAAACAAAGAAATATTTAAAAAACTGCACAGTGAAAACCTACTTGTATACTTTTATTATTACTAATTAGATTTTCTTAAAATGTGATCTTTACTAATCATTTTTTCACAATCTACCTTCCCTCTTTAAAAACAAAACAAAAGAAACCCACTAAGCTGAATAACTAAAAATCTGGTTTCTAAATTATCTTGCTTATTCTACTAAATCTATACAAATCTATATATCCTGTGATAGAGTACAGTCCCCCTAATTCTTCTCAAATCCAACACTAATGTACACAACAGAACATTGTTCTTTGAGAAGTATGCAATGTTAACTGATATTCGAGAACTATATTCTCCATGTATTTATACAATGTATAAAAGTAAACCAATAGCTGAATTTTATAGTATGTGAATTGTATCTTGATAAAGCTGTTATTTAAAAAAAAGTAAATCAATAACATTCGCTTCAGTTCAAATGAGCAATCACAGATATGAAAGGATCCTCTTATATACGAAAAGGATTCCAATGACAGAATGTGATTCCTGATGGTACTAATGGAATAGCTACTCAAAATATACTTTGAATTAGGTTATAAACTAATACTTAAATTACTAAAGTGTTTCTAAATTCAGAAGAAACAAATTGATAGTTTCTTCATCTTCACTGTCTACATTAATGTCGGGCAGGGATAGAAAATGGGAAGGTTAACGTTAGGAGAGATTACCATCAGGGTAATATTGCTGGTTCATGCCTTCTGGAGGACCTTGTCCACCATGACTGTATTGGTCCCCATAATAGTCTTCCTGGCCTGAGTACTGCTGTGGTGGGCCTGAAAAACCACAACCAGTCAAGATGTAAATAATTCGTTCTCTGTCATCAAAGGCTTTCTATTCTGATGTAATGAGAGATTATTTTTCAGATGCAGATTCCCCTCCAACACTTTGGCATTTCTGGTACTTTTAATTATTCATATACACACACAAACATAGAAACACAGTAATTCTACATACCACATTTACTAAAATTAACATTAAGACCACACATGCAATATCAAACAAAACAACTCAGAAAAAACAAATACTAAGTTCTTAAAAATAGGTTCAACTTAGTAGAAGATTAATTTCCTTTTCATTTTGATATTAGAGCACATCAAGATAAAATTGGGCTTGTTCCTAGCCATATATTCTAAACTTCTAAAAGAGAAAACAGTATTTCCTGATGCAAATTAGCAAGTTTTCGATATAAAAATTTTAGGATAAGAGAAAGATGTGTATCAGGAAGTTCCTATTTATTTAATGACTCTTAGGACCCTTCATACCTACTACATCCACTGTCTTTGGAGGTGGGGGAATAACAACAAAAAACCCCGACTATGCCTAGACAAAAAGTTCACTAAACTCAAAGCCTTTCAATTACTGTTATTAATATTAAGCAGGAAATTTTCCAAATGTAATCTTACCCTGTTGAGGTGGTCTATAGGGAGGAATCTGTCTCTGACCCATCATATGATTGCCTTGGTTAACTTGACCCATCATTCCCATGGGTGGCTGCTGTCCTTGGTAATGCTGCCCACCTCCTTGTGGCATATTGTATTGCTGAGAAGGGGGCTGCTGATGCATCATTGGACCTGAAAATAAACATTATGCACATAATTTTTTTTGCACAGAATTTTAACATCTTCAGAGAATTACAAGATTCTGTTTATAATACAAAATATATAATAAACATAATAAAATCAACTTAAAAGCAAATCTTTGAATTAAAGCTCCCACACCTTAAAAAACCCTATAAATAAGGATATAAACAACCAATATATGGTAGTTGACCCCTAGAGCAGTATTCTAGTCACTCAATAAATAAATAAATAAAGACAAAATAGATAAAATATATGAATATCTTGAATGTACATATTTTCCATGTTCTAACTAATATTTACCTATACCACCTTTTTAGAAATACACAAGTCAGTAGTCAAATGAAGAGAAATAAATCAAATTCCTGGATTTCTATTTTGTTTTATTTTGAATAGCCACTTAATAATGACAGAAAAGGTAATTATACAAACATTTGCAAACACATCAGTAGAATTTCATAAATTTAATTTTAAGACTAGGGACTGAACCCAGGGGCACTTTACCATTGGAGCCATATCCCCAGTTCTTTTTATTTTGAGATAGGGCCTCACTAAATTGCTGAGGCTGATCTTGAATTTGCAATCCTCTTGCTTCAGCCTCCTGAGTCACTGCCAGTCTACTGTTTATACAGCTACAAATACTCCCCCCTTGACTGTCCTGGGGACAATTTAAGAAGAAAGTATAAAAGGCAAAGAAACAATCAAGAGCCTGGAAAAGTTTTACAGGAAAACCTGCCTAGAAGAGCCAAGAGCTCATCATTCAACTATTTAAATAAACAACCGAAAACAATGCAAAGCAAAATCACCTCTTTAAAAGTATTACTGACCTATCATAATAGTAACAAAGTAAGCAGAAATACTTTCTAAGTAAAGAAATATTTTATCCAAAGGAATGCTCTCTCAAAGCTAATGTTTTTCTCCTATTCATCTTATTCTGTTCTACTTTTTTTTCCAAATTCTTCTTTTCCTTTTAATTTTATCATTGTAAAATAAGTCTTTTCAAAAGTTACTTCCAGCCCTTTTTTCAACAAGGAAATAAACTCTTAATAATAGGAACTAAGTAGCTCAGTGAGAGTAGAGAGGAAGAAAACTTAACATTTAATGCACAGTTACACTGCCAGTTACATGCTTTCACATTCATTTCCTATAAACCCCTAACAACTAACTACCAGACAACAATCCCAAATTGTTGTTTTTTTTTTTTTTAAGTTCAAATTTTCAGCCAAGAAATCCAAAGATCAAGATTATATAACTAATAGACACTAGTTGGGACTAAGACAAATCTCAAATCTGATTTCAAAGCATATACCTGTTCCACTATTTTTCATTAGCTCTACTAAAAAAATAAGCTATATTTGGTCTGTAGTTCAGAAACAAGTTTTGCTGTAAAAAAGTTCTAGGGCTGGGGTTGTGGCTCAGTGGTAGAGCGCTTGCCTAGTATGTGTGAGGCACTGGGTTCGATCCTCAGCACCACAGATAAATAAATAAATAAAATAAAGGTATTGCATTCAGAAAAAAAAGTTCTAAGACCATAATGAGCTTAACTGAGGTTACAATTTCAAGTATATTTTATATATAATTAAGTACTGAAACTAAGAGTCACAGTATAATAGGCAACCTGATTGAGTATTTGTGTAATTTATCTTCAGGAAATGAAGGTTTTGCTGTGTCTTTCTTCTCCAACACTGTCTGAAAACCTCTTGCCTTAACTGAAAGTAGCAATACAACTAGTGTATACTCTATGCATTGAAACCAAAATTAAAAAGAAAAACCATAATAACTGGGGGGGGGGGATCCAAAAAGATACATAATAAAATTCTAAGCTTTGCTCTAAAGGAGAAAAGTAATTCTAGCTTAAGCTCTAGACAGCAAAGACCATGCTGCTTGTGCTTTATCTTTTGGGACCATCAGCAATTCCAATCCCAAAGAGCTCAATTACCACCCTTCCCTTATTCTCAGTCACTTTTCTCCTTCTGAGGATCCTAACATCATTCAGGATCAAGCCTAAAACCACAGAGAGAATGAACAGGCTTGCTCTACTATAAAAACGTACTTTTCATTGTTTCCTTGAAGACTTACCCACTAAAGATAAAAAATTACGATTTTATAACTTCAATTCTGATTGTTTAGGAAACATTTTCTTTATGATAAAGAAATATGCTACAGTGGTAATGTGTGAGTATCATCTCCTGAGACACTAATGAAAATAAGAGCTAAATCTCAAAAGACTACCCCAAAGTAAGTTTCAAAAATGTACACTATAGAGTAAAATAAAACTACAAAATGAGTCTATTATAAATAACCATTTTCTGTGAATAATAGCATTATATGTTAGTATATGCTTAAGGGATATTCCTCATATTTTCCTTAAACCATTTTGATGTTAAGATGCACTATAAAGTATAATATATGAAGACTCTTACTAATATCTTAATTACTAAGAAAATACTTTTTACAAGGACATAAAACAAAAAATTACCATGTTATTTACTTCCATTTTGAATTTTATACCCTTCTAGATATTCTACAGAAATAATAGCCATATCTTAAAACATAAAATATTCCCCAAATTACTGTACTTTATATTACTGAAATTCTTGATTCCACTGAGATGGTTAATACTTAGTTTTATCTGAGTCAGAAACAATTTTCTTAAAAGAGTAAGCTGAGGATCGAATTTGAGTACTTCTTATATACCAGACGATGGGCCAAAAGCCAACTGGCACAAAGATCTGACAGGAATTACCACAATCTCAATGACTTACAATTATATAGATCAAGAAGAAAAAAGGTTTCACAGACATCGTTTTAATTAATCTGTGAAGAGTTTTGAAACAATATTTTAAAAATGTTCTGACATATTCACTTATTCATATCTATAGATTCAAACCAACACACTAAAATTCTATAAATTGTTTCATTAATCTAAGAATTATTTCAACATAGTTAAAAATGATAACTAACATTAAATGAGCACTTATTATGAGCCATGAACTAAGCTAAAAGCTTTATATATATTATTTATCCTCCCCAACCCTTACGAAAACAGGTATTATCAACTTAATTTCCCTAAAATATAAGAAATTTCCTCAATTTACCAATAATTATAAGAATCAGCATTGATTCTATAAGGAAACTGTTGACAATCATTATTTTCATTTTCACATTTACTATTCATATTTTACTACTTGTTCCTTAACCAATTATTCTCAAAATAAGCCACTTATAGCTCAAGTACAGTACTAATAGTTGGTTTACAAGAGAAAAATTCCTGCATTCTAGCAAACTCAAGTAGCTACACTACTATATGTTTAAGCAGTCATTTAAAATGAAAAAAAAAGATTCTCTACATAACTAAATTATACGTCTGTCCACATCAAGAATTTTAAATAGTTCACAGTCAGATGTTTGGACATAATACCAAGGATAAACGAACAAAAGCTTAATAAGAAAATGTACAATTATCCCAGAAACTTAGTAGCTAGGCACAAACTTAGCTGGTTACTTACCTAAGTAACTAATGAAAAATAAAACCATGATACATTTTAGTTAGTAAAAAGAACAACTCATTAAGTGATACAAACAAAGAACAACTCATTAAGTGATACAAACTTTTTTGACTAGATGCAGTGGGGCATGTAATCTCAGCTACTTGAGAGGCTGAAGCAGAGGATCATAAATTCGAAACCAGCCTCAGCAACTTAGCGACACCTTGTCTCAAAATAAGAAATAAAAAGGAGTAGGGATAGATGTAGCTCAGTTGTAAAATGCCCCTGGGTTCAATCCATAGGAGAAGGCGGGGGGAGGTTTTTTTTAATAACATGAAATTTTTACAGATATTCTCATAGAAGTATTAAAAGTTATGAACAATATCATCAATGTTTTGTTATCATTTCTTTAGTGACACAGATCATCTTATATGCAGTTATTCACATTCCCCGTTCCTTAAAGTTGTGATTCTCAGCCTTAAATGAATCTGTCCTCCAGAGGACATTTAGCAAAATCTGGTGAAAGTTTTAGTTGTCACAACTCCAGGGTTGGAGAAGGGGAGCCGGGAGGAACAAGGAGAGAAGAACAGGGGATGTACTGGGGAATGAAAATGAACAAATTATACTGTTTTATTGTTTACATGTATGAATATATTATAACAAATCCCACTGTTATATATAATTATAATGTGTCAATAAAAAGGGAGAAAAAGATTTAAAAAACTGGGGGGTCGGGGTGCAATTTTCATCTAGTATGCAGAGGAAAGAAATACTGCTAAACATTCCATAATGCACTGGACAGGTTCCCACAAGAAAGAATTATCCACCTCAAAATATCAATAAAGCTGAGTTAAGAAATCATTAATTTCTCAAGGGCATAATTTTAATTCACAGGGCTTTTTATACACTAGGCTGGGAGTTAGACTATATATTTAACTTCCTCATGATTGAGAACTGGGAAAAGGATGTGTAGTGAATTAATAAATCCAGCAAAATAAAAGGTTATGCTATTTAGATAACTCTTCTTAAAAGGATTCCTCTTAAATAGTTTCAACTGTATTACACAATAGTGATTTTTTAAAAAAAAAGTCACTGGCAAACATCTGTTGTTCACTGAAATGAGTTCCAAAAGATCTACATTTATGTGGCACATGTATCTCTGTTGTGAAGACCCTAACTTACCCAACCAGATAGCCACGGAGCTAGGCTACATTAGAATACCTAGCTTTGTTACTGAGCAGGAAAGTCAGAAAATTATGAATCATCTGGCAAAGAATAGATTATTCTAACCAGAAAAATTCTGAAGGAATAGACTACAAATAAGCAAGACTTTTCATATTTATTAAAATGTAATTTGTAAAGCACATTTTATAACTCAAGACAATTACACTTCCTGGGTACATTTCTCAGAGAAATGAAAATTAATGTCCAATAAAAAATATGGACACATATGATTATCCATAGCATCTTTATTTGTAAAAACCCCAAAACTATAAGCAATTAAAA